TCTAGCCTGTCTAGTCCCATCAGGATTTTATATGTTTCTGTAAGATCATGCCTCATTCTACTAAATTCCAGTGAATACAAGCCCAGTCGACCCAGTCTTTCCTCATATGTCAGTCCTGCCATCCCGGGAATCAGTCTGGTGAGCCTTCGCTGGACTCCCTCACTAACAAGAATGTCCTTCCTCAGACAGTACTCAAGGGTGTGGCATCATTAAGGCCCTGTATAGCTGCAGCAAGACATCCTTACTCCGATATTCAAATCCTCTCGCTATGAAGGCCAGCATGCCATTAGCTTTCCTAACTGCCTGCTGCACATCCATGCCAACCTTTAGTGACTGTTCCACAATGACACAGGTCTCGTTGCACCTCACTCAAAGATAGTAAGAACTGCTGATGCTGGAGTCAGAGATAACACAGTGTGAAGCTGGAGGAACACAGCGGGCCAGGCATAGAATTCATAGAATCCCTACATTTAGGAAACAAGTCCACACCAACCCTCAGAGCATCCTATCCAGACCTATTCCCCTATAACCCAACTAATCTACACATCCCTGAGCACTACGGGCAATTTCCCACAGCCAAACCACCTAACCTGCACATCTTGGGACTGTGGGAGGAAACCCACACAGACCCGGAGGAAACCCACGCAGACACGGGGAGAACATGCAAACTCCACACAGACAGTCGCCTGAGGGTGGAAGAGGAGCAAGTATGGCCTAAGAATTGGGAGTAGGGGATTGCATTCTTGCAGGAAGGTGGGTGAGAGGAGGTGTAGTCTAGGTAGCTGTGGGAGTCAGCAGGCTTGAAATAGATAAATACAAGTTAGCCAGGAAGGATCTAAACTTACAAGTTAGCCAGGAAGGACCTAAAGTTACAAGTTAGCCAGGAAGGACCTAAAGAGAGAGCTAAGAAGAGCCAGGAGGGGACATGAGAAGTCTTTAGCAGGTAGGATCAAGGAAAACCCTAAAGCTTTCTATAGGTATGTCAGGAATAAAAGAATGACTAGAGTAAGATTGGGGCCGGTCAAGGACAGTAGTGGGAAGTTGTGCTTGGAGTCTGAAGAGATAGAAGAGGTGCTAAATGAATATTTTTCGTCAGTATTCACACAGGAAAAAG